GACACCAAAAAAAAAAAAAAAAAAAAAAAAAAAAAAAAAAAAAAAATCTGAGGAACACAGCCTCATGAAAATACTGTACTATTTAGCCAGGGGACTTTTTATTACAATTATTTTCAATAGGCTAAGACATTGAATCAGTTTTCTTCTTTTTTAGGTTTGATCCTGATCCTGCCCTGTATAGACGTATTTGTCAAAGTTGATCTTCGCACAGTTACTTGCAACATTCCTCCACAAGAGGTAAGGATTTAGAGATGAGTTGCTAGAAATAAAGCTTGTATCTTTCCTGTTCCATGGACAGCTGAAATTTTGTTTACAATTTAAAATTATATGGGGGACAGATGAACTGAAGCCACCCAGGATCTGCTTGGGTTGCCCTGGTGGCTTTGGAATATGCCAGGCTTTGTTATGCAACTGAGAAAGAAGGAAGCCAAGGACAAATGAAAAAAACTTGGAATGGCTGGGTGGGAGAAAGCCTGAGAGGAGAGAGGCATTTGGGAAGGAAGGCAGAATGGAGGTGACAGAACAGAAGCTTAGAAGAAACAGAGAGGTCACTGCACTCAGAACAGTGACTGGTTATATTATCTCTCTGTCACCTTCCAGAAGATTTTTTTTGCAAGTATCAACGTGACTCACCTTTGCTTTTTACTTTAATTTTTTGTGTATATTTGATACAACAAAGCTGAGTGGGTGTGGGAACAGAGCAAAGGTTATACAGGGCTCACTACATTTGGATTTCGAATAATAATTCTTGAAATGCTATGAACAACTGACCAACAGCAATAGTTGTGGAGTAAGGAAGAGGAATAGAGCTTACTAAGAATCAGGTTACCTTCTCATAATCAAAGTGAAGTTAAAAGAGAAGAAAACTGGTAGGACCTATGATTGGGAAGGGCAAAGTGAGGAGAAGATAGGAACCTCAGTTAAGAAACAACAATGATGTCTCCCCATCACTGTCAGGACCACAGGGAATTGAATTCTGAACTCCATCATGGAGCCCTTGGAAGGCTTAATGACTTAACAAGGGCTTATCTGCTCTAGAAGGACAGTGCTAGCTTCTGTTCCCATGGTATAGACACCAGAAATCTCTTATTATCAAAATGGTTGATGCTGAGCCTCTCAAGGAAGTTTTATTTTGTTATACTAGAATATAGAACATTGTCTCTGATGCCATCTGTGTTTTCTAAGAAAAATTGCATCACCAAGTCAGATAAAAAGTGAAAACCAAGATTACAGGTATTGTCAGGGAAGCAAGTGTTCTTCGCCTGTTAAGTGGAAGATGCTAGAGCTTCAGAAGAGCTCTACTATTACATTCCAAAATAGAAACCCTTAGTCTTGCCTTCGTAAGTCAAGGGCTTCTTTCTATGGGATGTAGACTTCTCCAAGATAAAGTTACAGGTGTTGACAGGGACCAAATCTGTCCAGGAATGTTTTCACCAGGTAGGATCACATTATATTCAAGTGAGGACATGTTTTTGATGATGGCTAGCGTAAATTGTCGTTAATGGTTTCCTAGTTTAAGAAAGCTCTCGGGATGGCTAAAACTTGTCGACTGCTGTGAAAGTTAACATGTATGTGATTTTGCTCTTCCTCATCCTGCAGATCCTCACCAGAGACTCTGTGACTACGCAGGTGGATGGTGTTGTCTATTATAGAATCTACAGTGCTGTCTCAGCGGTGGCTAATGTCAATGATGTCCACCAAGCCACATTTCTTCTGGCTCAGACCACTCTGAGAAATGTCTTAGGCACACAGACCTTGTCCCAGATCTTAGCTGGGAGAGAAGAGATTGCCCACAGCATTCAGGTAAAGATACCAAGAACTCATATCCTGCATCTGTAATTCACTCATTGCAAGGGTCTCTGACTATCAGACATCAGCAGTTCAGAGCACTCCCTCACATGAGTGTTTGTTTGCACACTCACATATACACACAGATGCCTGCTCTGTGAGTTTGTGATTTCATTTGTCTGTTACCACCTGATATACATGCACTTCAACATGTGGATGGGAGAAGGAAGCTGCAGGAACTGTATCCTTTACCTCTTTCCTTTGGAATTTAAAATTATGACCTAACATTGAACATTTTACTCTTTTATGGGGATGTTAGCGACTCGTCTTGTTTTCAATTTTACTCTGGAAGTTCAGTGTTTCACAAATCATCCTTGTATTGCTAAATTGCAGGGGAATGTGAGTTAGAAGAAGATTCTTTTAGGACAGCAAAGAAACCCCACATCCAGAAATTTTGAAAATATCAAAAATACATTAATAGCAATAATTATTATCGTTGAACTTGCAGTGCATATGACCTTATCTTGTGCACATTTTAGTTTATAAATTGCATTTATGTATTGTCTTAAATCAATTATATTTTCTTCCTAAGCCCCCTTTTGGTTAGCTAGGTCTTGGGTAGCTCTTGGTCTCTTGTGTGATCTCTCTCTTTAGGTAGTGCAAAAGCCCCAAGGTTTTATAAGGTTTTGTCAGTTCTGTATGCAAGCTTCCCATGTCATTTGCAAGAACCCCATGAGTTTGACAACCCAGAAGCTTCCCATCCAAAACCAGGTCACTGGCTTCTTATGATGTCTTACAAACTCCAAGATCCTGAAGAAATCAGACAGGTTAGGGATAACTTGCTTTTGGAGGTGAGATTTCCACCCTCTCCTTTGGGAGAGCTACTTTTCAGAGCTCATTACTTCCCAGTCATTCTTGACTTCTGTGTCCAGGATAATCAGCAAGATGTCTTCCATGCTTTTAAGCTTTTAAAAAGGAGCAAAGATACCCTTGAATTTAGGATACTTTTTTAAAAAAACAAACCCTAAAAATTATGTACTAAAAATGATGTCTTGATAAAAAAAAAAATGTCTTGCTACTTATGTAACCCTGGTAAAAGAAAGTAAGTACTCACTAATTATATTCATCGAATCATTACTAAGCATGGTAGATATATGTATTTCTCTAAATCCCATGAAAATCCTGACAGGAAACCTTTCTTAGGTGAAAAAACTGAGAATAAGAGGAGTTAAGAAACTGGTTCGGTGATTTACAGTTGCAGATGGCAGAGTCAGGGACAGGTTCCTCTGAGAAGCCCATGCGTTGCTGTCAGTGACAAGCAAATTCAGGGTATTTCCTAAATCCAGATGGATATCATACATTTCCTGGTAGTTGCAGGATGGATTGTTCCAGTGGACCACCTCTTTAAAGATCTGTCAGAATTTGCTCATGAAATCTTCATGGGATTCACCTCCCCACAGTAGAAACTTACAGCTCCTCATCTGTTCTCCCTCTCTCTTTTTCTCCCTCTTCCTCTTCCTCTCCCACACCCCCTTTCTCTTTGGGGCGTACCAGGGATTGAACTTAGAACCTTGCACTTGCCAGGCAGTTGTGGCACCGCTGAACTACATCCCTGGCCCTTTGGTTCTCTGATTAATATTTTATTTAAAAATGTTTTTTTCTAAATAGACTTTGCTGGATGATGCCACTGAGCTGTGGGGGATCCAGGTGGCCCGAGTGGAAATCAAAGATGTGCGGATCCCCGTACAGTTGCAGAGATCCATGGCTGCTGAGGCTGAGGCCACGAGGGAAGCCAGAGCTAGGGTAAGGAGAGAGAGCTGCTCCTGGGGCAGACAGGACAGAGCCTGGATGGAAGAATAGGGTCTCTTGGCTATGGATGTAAGAAAAGAATTTCTTTCTCAAAGATTTCCCCTTGAATTAAAAGGTAATGAACAGCATAATATACCTTTCAGAAGCTTGTTCATTGGGATGCTTGGCAACTCGCAGTTAACATTGTGAGGCTCAGCATTAGCTACCTATCAAAGCCTCCTAGAGAATTTAATGCAACAAAATACTTACCCAGATTAAACAAGGTCTGGTGTGGGCCCAGGTACCTGCATCTTTATAAAGCTGGTGTTTTGGAAACATTTCACTTAGTGCCTGTACTTTGAGCATCATTGTTTTAGATGTGTTAAATGCTACTGGATGTCTCAGTAAGTTTCCTCAGTGCTGGGACAAAATATTTGACACCCGCAATTGAAAGTGGGGGAGGTTTATTTTGGCTCGCAGTCTTTTGAGGATTCAGCCTATACTCAGCTGGCTTCGAGGCAGACACGGCACGGTGGAGGTGTCTGCTGAAGGAAAGCTGCTGATGTTATGGCAGCCAGAAGACAGAGAGAGAGGGGAGGCGCTGGGAAGGAGAGACCCTTTCAGCCCACAGCCCTAGTGACCTGCCTTTTCCAGTCCTCACTTCCCTATAGCAGGTCAGCCACAGGATCCAATCAACTTCCAAAAGTCCCAGCTCTGAACACATAGAGATGTGGGGAGACAGTCTTGATCTATACCAGGATACTGGCTGAAAAGGAAGTAATCACATACAGTGCAGATTAGAACCACAAAATGTAAACCTAGCCTGGCCCCAAGGGCCCTTAAAATTGTTGGTCTGTAACTTTCATGTCTATGTAGATAAATTTCCTGAATTACCAGCCACAGAGAGCAGGAGCTTTTGCATATTCTCTTTGGAATCTTCCTTGTGAGGAGATGAAAGTTTTCTGTGCTCTCATTCCTTACTCCTGTGTGCTTTACCTGCTGAATTACAGCAGCACCCAAGCGGGGATTTGAAGAGGATGAAGGAGACGTCACTTTTGCATATGGACAGGGAGCTCTGGCCAGGTTGTTCTTGGGCATTCTGAAAACTAGAAAGAGCACAGAGTGATAAAGAGAGTCCCTGTGACGTTATCAGGCCGCCACTTGCTGCTACTTATAATCGAGGGTGGCAAGAACTAGAAACGATTCTCCCATTTTATGAGTGAGACTAAATTGTCATCAGAATGAAGTAAAAATATCTCACATGATAAGTAAAAACAGTAAAACAGCCAGTCAGAACACTTGAATTTCAGACATTTCTAAAAATGATTGCAGCATGTAGGGAGACCCCAAAAGGTTCTGGAACCTTCCCAGGATGGACGGACAGGTGCATGTTTGTGTCAAATACAGTGCTTTTGTGTTTGAGAATGAAATCTAAAGACTTCTAATTTGTAAAATATCTCTGCACTTTGTGCAGCCTCCTTGAATTTCTCCAGTCACAATAGGATGTGAAACTCTTATCCTGGCCTAAGAAGTAAGCAGAAAAAACACAGAATTGGGGCTGTGACAGACATCAACACTGACCCAAAAAGGAAAGCCTTAGTCACATTTACACATTTTATTCCTTTCATTTTAGGTCCTTGCAGCAGAAGGAGAAATGAATGCATCTAAAGCCCTGAAGTCAGCCTCCATGGTGCTGACCGAGTCCCCCATAGCCCTCCAGCTGCGCTACCTACAGACCTTAACCACAGTAGCCACGGAGAAGAATTCCACAATTGTGTTTCCTCTTCCCATGAACATACTGGAGGGCATTGGTGGTACCAGCTATGATAACCACAAGAAGGTTGATAATAGAGCCTGAGGTAGCCAGTCCATTACTTAGTGTCCCACCTATCCTATGGAGAAGTCAGCCTTTAGAGGTGATGAGCATTCTAGCAAGGTATGAGCCATAGGAACTTCACAGCTGGAGTAGCACTAGTAGGGAAAAATTTGTAGACACTACAAAAGGAAAAACAAAGCAAAACCAAGGGCTGTGCACTACTTTTATGTTTAAGACATAATCAACTTTGCAGTTCTCTTATATAATCAATTAGTAATTATCCTGACTTACTTAGTTGCAGGCACTTTCTTTCAGTAGGGAAGAAAATTACTGGGTGACTATGACTGCTTTCAGAATTAATTCTTGTTTTTGAAAATAAGTAGCCTAGATCAATTGTAAAGTACCATAGGCTGCGTATTTATACAACACATTTGCTTTACAATTCCAAAGTAATTACTTATTATATCTCCAGTAGTTGCAATAAACCCCTTCAATGCTGAAAGCAATATCTGATTTTGATGTTAAAGACAGAATATTAGCCACAGCCCCATAAGGCACACTGTGCTCAGCTCAGAACCCCAGCTGTCCTGCTGTGCAGCACATCCTACTGGGACTGTTGGCAAATTCTCAGAGTTGAGGCACATTTGTCAAGACAGGACAAGGCATAACAAGGCAGAAAATCCCAGTCAATTTATTAGCTCACAAGTAGGAATCCTTGTAAAAGGTTTTATTGGTTAAAACCACTGGGGAGTATCATCCTGAGGATTTCATGTTTTTACTCTAGTAGTCCCAAGAGCCACAGTAATCAAGAGTTGTTTGTAGTCTGTTTCCTCTCCCAAATAACCTGATGCAAATAAAGAAGCCATAGAAAATGAATGTGTTTTAATAACTGATTTCTTGGAGGTTATTTTGTTGCCAGGGTGGAATTTCCTTTTGCAATCAGTTCTGAGAAATGGGCTAGAATTTTTTAAATTACTGGCTATTGTTTATTAAGTGTTTTGTGTTACTCTGTGCTCAGTCTTTCATGGATGCCAAGAAACAGCCCTTTTCTTTGTTTTGTTTTGTTTATTGTGACATCTTAGGTATACGATATAGTTACTTACATTCATCATTGGGATCTTGTAGCTTTACATGACGTATGTTGGTTCTTATTTTTTCCCCATTCCCTTGGCCTCCCTTCATCCCCTCCACCCTTACCTATTTACAAAGTCTTTGTTTCCATTATTTTCCTTTTCTCTTATTTTTTTTCTGCTCCCTTCTTAGCTTTCCCCTACTTTTCCCACTTCCCGTACACCTTTAGACCTTTTTTGCTATTATACAATATCAACTAAAAGTGTAAATAAGGATCAAAACAGTCCTTTCCTTCAAAATGAGAATGTGATGTCAAAAGATAAAATAACTTGCCCAATTTCTCTCAGCCAATGGGTGTTGTTTAGGGTTTTTATGAAGAAGTCGGCCTGACTGTGAAGTCTATTGTTCCACATCATTGAGTTTTACCTGGGTTAGGGTAGGGGAGCAGATCACTCCTGTTCCCTTTTGGCCTTCAATAGCAAACTTAGTTTCTGGACATGCAAGCTCCCACTGTAGCACTCAGGACTGCACTTGCATGCACACACATGTATATGTGTAAATGCACACTCCTCACGTGCTTTATACTCCTTTGCACACTCCATCCCCCGTAAAACCTTACCACCCTCACATCCCCTCCGTCTCTGATCACACCATTTGCCTGCCCTTTCCTCACATGAGTCTTGCTAGCATGTAGGCATTAGCTACATACACATGCACAGTCGGGATCTCACTCTTCTTTTGTTTTTTCAGCCTGTCTTCCCCCATGAAATCATTATATGATTTTTAAATTTTATTTATTTATTTATTTTTTGGTTTTTTGAGACAGGTCCTAACTAGGCAGTTGAGACTGACCTGGAACTCACTATGTAGCCCAGGCTGGTCTCGAACTCACAGTGATCTGCCTGTCTCCGCCTCCCGAGTGCTGGGATTACAGGCGTGAGCCACCACACCCGGCCTTATATGATTTTTTAGATAGCCCACAGTTTATGAATCTCATGGTAGATTTTACTAACTCGATGGCTATGATTTCAGTGTTCCTACTTAACCCACAGGAATTGAAGACTCAGTTGCAAACCAGAAACCTAAGGTAGATTCAGAAAGTAAGTCCACAAAATCATACCATTCAGACCTTTAATCTGTGGCCCTACATTTTAAGAACAATGGCACAGACTTCACACAGACTAGGACATCTCTGGCACTGGGAGCCATCTGGGGAGGAGAGTATTTTGCCTCTGTAAAAATCTCTTCTTAGCCTTTTCAGGAAATCTACTGCTCTTCCTTTTTTGCCTTCAGCTAACAATTTATAGCAAACTCCTAAATTAGTGGTTCTTGCTGGAGGTAAAGATCATCTTACTCACTGGAACCTCTTTCTCAAAATATACAGTCAACTCTCAAAAAAGGATGAAACAAACAAAAAGTAAAAGAACACATAAAAAGCAAAGGAAGGCAGGGAATTTAGCTCAGTGGTTCCACCTTCTGTGTCGCAAGTACAAGGAACCGAGTCTGATCCCAGGTACCAAAAAGAAAAGAATAAAACAAAACAAAAAAAACCAAAAAGGCAGAGGAAAAAGTACACAAACATTTGCATTGCATGTGGATTGCAATAAGAGGTTAAAGAGCTGTCAGAATCTTTAGGGATATGGGAGATGTAGTTGGAAAACTCTTGAGAAGGTTCAAGTTACTCCATCCCTTCCAGCATGACCTGTATTAATTCTTTAGTACCTATTACAATGGGCCATTGGTTACATTAGTAAGGCTGACTAAAGGAAGTTCCTCTGAAGGTGAGTTTGGCGGAACAAAGGAGCTATAGAAGAGTCAGGAAAGGTCCTAGCTTTTCTGGAATGTGAATGCCAAGTGTAATATTCAAAATCTAGTCACCACCCGTAGAGTAAGATTAAAATTGTTTTCTCTTTGGAAGGGAGAGCAAGGCCAACAGAGGGAATAGCAGACAACCCTTCTGGAGAGAGAGAAGGATTTATTCTCCTCATAGTGCAGCTCCAGGGCCCACAGTCATTCCGTTAACATGTAAGCCAGAGCAGATGATCTTCCCATTTTAAGAACAAGGATGGCTTGGCCCTGACTACAGGGCTAAAACAGGATTTGAAGTTCAGACTTGTCTCAGATGTTTTCCCTTGTTGCTGTGCCTGGGGGTAACGTTATTGCTATCTTAGTCTGTTTAGGCTGCTATAACAAAATAACATGAACAGGTGACTTAAAAACAACAAATTTAAACAACTGGTGATTTAGCTCAGTGGTGCTGCCACCTGCCTCCCAAGCACAAGATCTTGAGTTTGAGCCCTGGTACAAAAAAACAAAACAAAACAAAAAACAAAACCCCAAAAACAAAAACAAACTTATTTCTCATAGTTCTGGAGACTGGGCAGTCAAAGACCAATGCACTAGTAGACGATGTTTTGCGATACTCCACTTTCTAGTTCAAAGGACAGAAAGAGTGAGAGACCCCTCTGAGTCTCTTTTATAAGGATACTAATCTCAATAATGAAGGCTCTGCCCTCATGATCTCATCACCTTCCAAAGGCTCCACCTCTTAATGCCGTCACCTTGAAGGTTAAGATTCCAGGACATGAATTCTGGGGGACACGGACACAGGTGCCCACAGGAGATGCCTCCTGTTGGAGAGTCGATGGGGGTAATACTCATTCCAAGGGGCACTGAGCTGCCGAAGCTAATGGAAGGGCACTGAGAGAGACTGGGAGGCTGCTGAAAGGAACTCTGGACTGCAAACAGTGTTGGCGATGAAACCTAGAAAAGAGGTGGAGGTCATCTAACTCAGTGAGTTTTTAACCATTATTTTTAAAGTCTTGAAATACTCTTGTGACATATTGGGAAAGAAGGACCCAGAGGAATGAGGTGACTCTCCAAGGACACAGAAATGAAATTACCCCCCCTGTGTCTCAAACCTACAGTGATAGAGCATCAAGGAAGACCAGTTTCTTTTTTACCCATATGTGGACTCTTGTGTCACTCTAGTTACTAGTTGGCATCACATCACACACGTCGGTACTGAGTATATCTTGCTGTGTCTTACTTTAAGCAGAGATACGTTGACAAATAAATTACTTTCCAGAATCCTAAATTGGAAATGGGGATCGCACCTCTCCATTTGGCTGTGATCCAATTTATTTGTTTATTTTTTGAGGGGGAAAGATAAATTGGTTGACATTTCTTTACTAGCAGTATACAGTTAAAAGGCTGTGATCCAATTTAAATTGGAAATGGAAGGGTGAGTAGTAAGATGCTCCTTTTGCTCTACTGTTCTTCTTAGCACAGAATTATGTACTTAATGCTGCAGTCCCATCCATCCCTTCCCTCTGCCTCCCTTTTCCTCTCCTTTCCCCTCTCCCTTTCTTCATAGCATTCCTTTTCTTTCTCTATCCCTCCCTCCATCCCTCCTCAATTTCCTTTTTCTTTTAACTCCAGATGTACATTTCCCAACTTTCATGCTTTCCTGCAGAACAGCTCTTTCTTTTAAATTGCACCACCCTGAATGGAGAATGGCTACAAGGAGTGGGGGCGCTGCAGAAAAATCAGTCCTGAGGGCATCTTGATCTTGAGCTTCTAGCTTCTAGAACTGTGAGAAATGAATAAACCACTGTTTAAGTTACCTCTTCTGTGGATCTCTATTATGGTAGCCCTAGAAAACTACCACACCCCATGCTTAATGGCGAGTGTAAGCCTATGATCTGGTGGCATGTTCTCAATGCTGGTGAAAAAAAATGTAATTGCCTCCTTGGAAGTTCCAAAACTTGGATGCCTTTAAAATAAGCTGAAGAGATTTGAGGAATGATGATTCTGAGAGTTTCTGATTTAATTAATATGAAGTGTGAACCCAGTGCTCCTCACGTGATATTCAGGAATGCAACTCGTGGAGAATAATAGCTTTAGAACAACTCTACTGTACTTGTCTATAGTATTGTATTTCCTATACTATAAACCTTGTTTTCTGCCCCTGATATGTAAAGTTTAAGTACTGTGGATCTTCTAAATTCACTCCTGAACCTCTGCGGTAGGTTCCCACCATGTGCAGTCCAGTGGTGCTGTTAAACATTCCAAAAGGTGCGAAGAACAGTAAGTCCCTAGAAAGCAGACAGCAGAAACCACTGTGTGGTATTTCATTTAACTGAGAGGTGCAGCTTGTAGTAACAGGAAGAAATATAGTTTACAGGCAAGGGATTTGGCTCAGTGGTTCCGCCTTCTGCCATATATATATATTTTAT